AATATTTTTTGATGAATAAAAAGAGACAATGACTATAGTACATTTTGGGTCCAAAAGTAAGAAAGTGATGACACATAAATTTATTAAAGTAGCCAACAAACAACATCAAGTGGGCTCAATCACACAGGATTAGAAACTACAAAGATAGATTTGAGTAATTTGGTTAACTTTTTAGAGATGATAGAATATGGCCTACCTTGTTGAATGAGATTATGTGTTAGGTTTGAACGTTGAAAGGATAGAGGAAAGTTAAATCTTTTTGTTTTGTTTAATTGGACTTTCCTATTTCAAAAAATATGGCAGGTAGAGATAAGTGGGATATAGATTTGATCAAGTATAATTAAGTCAAGTAATGTATAATGACTTTGTAGATTCGTGCCATGTGTATTATATGATTATTTATGGCTAAGATTCATTTAAATTATATACTCATCTTAATAATAAAAACAATGAAGTTGTCAATTATTTTTATTTTTAAAACTATTGAATGGAGCAATTAAGTGTATATCCAAACTAATATCTTCAAAAATAAGAATAACTAAGATTGAAAAAGAAAATTTAATATACCTGATTGAAAGTATTTGCATTATTAATTGAGTCTTATCGTCAACTCTCGATTCGCATGCCCGTCAATCTTAATCTTTTTTCTTGAAAATATTAGCTTGGATACACTTAGTTGCTTTATTTGATATTTTTTAAAAAAATAGTTGATAACTTTGTTGTTTGTGTTATTAAGATGAGTATATAATTTAAATTTATTATTAAGATGAGTATATAATTAAAATGAATCTCAACCATAAATTATTATATAACACATATTACATAAATTTACAAGGTCATTGAACATTACTTGACCGTATCTTTATTCAGATAAGTGTATATACACACCACGTTCACAAGATCTCATTACTAGGATTATAATTTATCGTCATTGTTGGACTTGCTTTGTTCTAAGAAATTAATGGACTCAACATAACCTTCTTGGGTGGGGGTATTTTCGTGTGATTATTTCTAAAACGAATTCAAGATTTAAATTTAATAAATTCAAAAATTATTAACCATCTAAGTTACTGAGTTTGATCGATAAATACTAGCTATCAAATTTAACCAAACCTATGTTACATCGTATATCCATCCATATACTATCATTATCAATAATTTGGTAGAGCGGGAATACCTTTAATTTCTCCTTAATTATAAAATAGTAGCACACTCACTAAAATACTGAATATTCTGTCTTTTATAATTTCTCCAATCAAAATATATAAAAATTTGTTTAGATAATAATAATATTTAAACTCAAAGATTTCTGTCTATATAATCTGATGATAGGTGAATTTTGTGACCACATACATTTCTTATCACTTAACTATATTATATTTAATGGGGGTGGGGTTAGTGGATTAGTACAATTCATGAAGGATGATGTGGTGGTGGAGACTTGAGAAATATATATATATGTATGGCAGAAAATAGTTTCATTAAAACAATTATAACTAAACAAAGTATAGTTTGGTATGGTGTATCTGACAATAGCCATGCTATTAGTTGGTCCACATATTTATCAATCAAAAATATGTGTTGGGACACACAGTCCCCAACCTGTTTCGTAGCCATCTTGTTTCATGAGTCCCACTCCAGATGTTTAACGGATTGGTATTTTTTTCAATATGATTCTAATAATTTAATTTTTATGAACGATTAGCTTTTAGAATTAAATCAAATTTAAAATTTATTTTTTTATATGATCTTAAAATATAGTTTTATTTATTGATAATGACCCTCAGGATTCAACTATCCACACATTAGATCCAGGCTTGGATGTAAGGTGGAGTATTAAAGAGCTTGACATTGATCATTTAATAAATAAGTGATCTCTTTAATGTGATTTGATAATCTTCTCTTCAAGGCTAGCTTTATATACAATTAATTTCAGTTATTATTTATCAATAATAATAAATGAAGACCTAATAGTTAAATTGTCCATACACCATATGTTCTGACTTGAACTGCACCCTTGAAGATTTCACATCAAATGTTAAGGGATGGACAGTTTCAAAAATTAAAATGGAACAATTCTCCTCTAATATGCTAACTTTTAATATTGAGTGAAATTCAAAATCATTTTTTACACATCTCACCATAAATCAAACAAAACTGAAACAAATGGTAAATCACTATGCCCATGTGTCCATGGATAAGTTTGTTTTTTCTTTCTAATGCACCGACTTTAATCTGAAAAATAAAAAGTCTTTTCTTGTTGGCATTACAAATAAACAAGGATAAAATAATTTGTTTTTTATTTAATAAAATAAAAGAAGAGAAACACAAATATATGGGAGTTGCAACATTGAAACTTAATTAATTGAGAATTAATTAAGTACTGTGCTACATCTTTCTATTTTACTGGATATTATTGCAATCTCGACATGTTATACGTACTAACGAGTACACGATTTTGACATTATCCTAATAATGGACAACGACATATATATATAATTGAAAGAAAAGGGTGATTTGATTTCCTTTTCTCTTTTCCCTGTACGTTGAATAACAGTTTGGTATTTTTTGTTTTTAGCTATTACACATCTCTTTTTTGTTTGAAATATTAGAAATCTTAAGGTGATTAGATGATAACATATGAAGATGTGATTCTACATAAGAAGATATGAAGATTGATAATTAGAATAGTTTAGTTGGCAGTTGAGTAATCACATAGTGTGTTTCTACTATTTGCCATTTTATTTTGTTTTGTATTTTAATATTATACTATTTATTTATTTTTATCTTGTAATCCTTTTCTGAATAACCTATCTTTTGAGTTGAGAGTCTATCAAAAATTTGAATACAAAATCTGCTTCTCAAACCTCACTTATAAGTTATGATATTACTATTGCCTCACTTATAAGTTATCATATTAGATAGAATATGTATTGTTATTTATAAACCCCAAGGGAATAATCTATCTAAATTATATTTATAATCATGATCCACTGCAGATTCAAAATTTTAAATCGAGACAGTAAAAAGTACCATTTCAATTATTATCCCATTGCTAAAAATGGATGTTCACTTAATATAAATTTATATTTCTAGTTCTTTTTTACTTTAGATACATAATTAGAGCACTTACATATAAATCAATGTGAAAATTGTTGAATAAGTCAATATAATTAGATAGTATAAGAGGTCTATTTAGAAAAAGGCAAGAAATGACATAATAGCATGTCATGTGGATGGCTGTGCATAGAGAGAACAAAGGTCAAGAGTTATATCTCAAAACTACCTAACATATTGACCACTTGGGACAAATCCACATGAGTTTTTTGTCAAGATCCATAGACTTACCTAATTAAAATTGATTGATTTTATGGGCATTTATCAATAGGGTCTGCTACAATGGGTTCATCTCCACATGCTCTTATACACATTGGTTTTCACCTTATTGACAATGGCTAGGAGACATGCTTGAGAATTGCCCCAAACTTTCAAATTAATATGCACATCACCAAAATCTATACATGCATGCATGTTTTTTTGCCAAATAATAATATAAAATCATTTTGACTCGATTTGATGGCATAATGCACACTTTGTTCCCAAGAATTTGATGATTTGAGTGCATATTAATGCATTAGCTCCCTCCCCTCACTCAAATCAACAACTTGGATATTAATATAATATAAAATGTTTCTTTCCAAATTCTCATAGAACCAAAATATATATTCCTTGTTTAAGCCAAAAAAATGACTAATTATACCATCAAAATGTTTGCGGTAGAATTATAAGTATTTCTTTATTCTTAATAAGATGCTTTTATATTTGAGTCATGTGTATGACATCGTCTTTGATAGGGAGCTCTTAAACCGCTAACATGTGATATTTGGGTGAATATACAAATTAATCAAAACCTAAAGTGATAACACCTAGTAAGAATTTAACACTAAAAGAAAGATACGAGTTATGACTAATATTTATTAAGAAAATATATCATCGATTATGATGAAAGTGATATGTTAAATAGATGAATATGATCTTTTGATCAAATTTTGTATAAATATAACATAAAACTAAAAAAATATAAATTATAAAGGACTACGAAATCAAATTTTTCGCCGGTTTTGGGAAGGTATTTTAATTCATTCTAGCTAGTTATAGGGTAGTAAAAGTGTGACATGACATATTTTTATGGGTGCAATACACCCTATTGTTTGGTAATGTAGGCCTAGCTACTTCCCACAACTCTATAGAGTATTGATATACTAGTATAATTTCATTGCTTTAGTTGAGTGAACTTGTGCAGAATTTTCAACTACTCTATGGATGCTTAAATACTTTATAGATAGATTAATAAAGTATACTCTTTGTCTCTACTCACTTTTTCTTGGGTTTATTACTTTCTCTATCCGATATTGTTTATCATGGTTTCTATTTTTAGAGTTAAACTATAAAAATTTTGACTAACATTTTAAGATGTATTTTTTCATCATATTAATATACAAAAAATTGTAATTTATAGTACTTTTCATATAGTTTTAGAATATCTATTTTTTTTATTTAAAATATTGAAATAATGTGATCTAATTTAACTTTGCAAGTTAATCAAATTGACTTTCGAAAAGTGTAACATGATAAACGATTCGAACGGAGGGAGTATTATTCTATAAATATCTTTTAAATTATATATAAGTATCTTCTAGACCGAATCCAAAGTACATTTGAACAAACAAGATCTTTGCTACATGTTCATATTTAGGATGTATTTATGTGAGTTATGAAATATGCTAATTTTATGCAGGATTATTAATTAATAAATTGACATAATTGACTTAATGATCACTTGGCAATTATTTGACATCAATAATTGTGTAAACACACGGTACAATTAATCTGTATAATTAAGAAAAAAACTTTGGCGGATTATCCATTATTATATAATAAACAAAAAGATGGCTAAAAAGCAATGAATTGACAGAAAAAGAAGACTAAAACCTGTCCAGTAAGGCCCAAATCAGCAAGGAGTGGCCCAGTTTAGATTTTCTTGCAACACATCAAAAATAACTGATCTGTTATTCATGCATGTTACATCTGAGGCGAATCTAAGTACTAGTATTCGCGAGTTCAGAATAATTATTAATACATAGACATTTATTTATTTCATTTTTTCCTTTAGTACATGTATGTATCGCAGTTGAATCAACAGAACCCGTCCTATTCAATGCCATGCATCTTCCTAAGCATGACAACACACTGATAGATCTTTTCAGGATCTGGAAGGACACTAGAAACACTCTCCCTCTCAAGGCATCTCTTCATCCAGCAGCCAAATTTAGGACACTCTTGTTCAACCTTAAAATCTCCGAAAACCTCGTAAGCATGGAACCAAGATGTCATGGCAATGGCTATAACATCAACATACCCAAAGTTGTCTCCTCCAAAGAAATCTTTGTCACCCATGGCTCCTTCAAGCTTCTTCAAGATTTCTATGAAATCTTTCTTTGCAATCTCTAGTTCTTCACCTTTGCTCTTCCATATGCACATTCCTCCTTCAAATATCTACACCTCAAACACATCCAACTAAGTTAAACTAATTAACAGATGGTGTATTATATAAAAAAAAATACATTTTACCTCATTTTACGTGACCTTGTTTGACTAGACGCGATCAGTTGACAAATTTTTACACTAGTAGAATTTTATATTGCTTACAACAACTTATGAACCTTTTAGACCGCAATCTAAAGATCTCTTGAGAACAAAATGTTAGTCTATGGCGTAAAATTATAATTTTTTTGGTATTGTACGACAATAGTCTAATATTTTTTCAGTTATACCTTTTTGTCGATGAAGTCTGCCCAGAAACGTGCACGGGAGCGTCCATAAGCACAAGAAGGCAACAAAGGGTTCGTAGAAGGATACTTATCCTCAATATAATACACAATGTTATTGGACTCAACAATTGGCTTTCCATTATCCAACAAAACTGGAACTTTTTCATAAATTGGGTTAGATTTGAGAAGCATATCACTTTTACCACCAAATAAGTCTTCTTGTTGAGATTCATAGGCTACACCTTTTTCAGATAGAGCAATTTTCACCCTCATGCAAAATGGGCTTGCCCAGAAATCCAATAAACGCAATTCATCATCTTTTGACATTTTTGATAAAGTTTTCAATTATTTATTTTCTGTTTAATTTGATGATTGGTACATGCTGGGCTTTATATAAAGGCAAGAATCTGAATTTCCAAAGTAATATTCTGATTGGGCTGAACTTCCAAGATGGGCATTGAAAATGTCGTTGTTTTGAATAAATGAATCAAGTGATAAATTATTTTTTAATTGTTTAAATTGAACAGGTTAAAATAAATTGAAAAATTATTATTGTTTCTATGGAATTCAACAAATAAAGACAAGGGTTGCAATTTGCAAATTCTATTCGAGGCAAAAGGCACTGATTTGTTTCTCATACCTTCATTTGGAAACTATTTTTTTCCCTCTTTCTCACATGTTTTTTCCCCTCACGTAATCACAATGATATGATATTTTTATTTTGAATGGAGAAATATATTAAAAATAATCTTTGTATTTTTTAAAAATAGAACTTAAATATAACTACGTAGAATTTTTTGTAAGATTATATTGTGTATGATATATCTATTTTAGTATTGAAATGATATTAAATTCGAATCAGCTTCAGAAAGTCCATATTTACTGCCCTTTTTAACTTCCCAAATATTTTATACCATTCAATTTTTTTCGACATTCTGTTCTTGAAATTTTTTTGAAGATCTCTGTTTTCCTGTTCTTGAAAAATCTTCATACAAAGTTGTTTCTTTTTCAATTTCCAACAACCCAAATCAAAGATTGCTAATCTGCTTTCAAAGTTTATTCCTTTTCTCTTTTTATGGGAATTCCCTTTCAAGAATAGCAGCAAAGACACTCCATTCATCTTCAATTGGATCCAATATTCCATTTATTGAAACTCTGCTGCCAAAGCTCTGTTTTCTTTTTCTTTTCGTGTGATTTAACAGTCAGAATCAGAGAAATAATGTGGGGCGCCGTTCAATTGGGAGTATTGGCGGCCTTTCTTGTACTCTTTGTCCCTGTCGGTATGGCTGGTTGGCACTTGAGTCGCAACAAAATGTTATTTTTCAGCTGTGCCCTCTTTATTACCCTTGCTGTTTGTGTTCATTTGACCCCTTATTTCCCTTCAGTCTCCTCTATGCTTTCTTCACCAGGTTCACTACCCTTATCTTCTTCATCATCAAATGGAAATCTTGATTCTTGTATTTCTTTACTTCACCAAGTAGCATTTGATTTTCAAAAATTGAATAATGAGAATAGTAGTGTGGAAAATACTGTTAGGAGTAGTAGTGAGGAGTCCTGGAAGTGGATTGAGTCTGAGCCTGTTGTTCAATGTGATTTCCATAAGTTGTCCATGTCTGATGCTTCAGATTTGTTTAATGGGTCATGGGTTGTTGTTGCTGGGGATTCACAGGCAAGGTTATTTGTAGTTTCTTTGTTGGAGTTGTTATTGGGGGAAAGTGAAATGGAGATGATTAGGGGGGATTTGTTCAAGAGGCATAGTGATTATAACATACTTATTGATGAGATTGGGATGAAGTTAGATTTTATTTGGGCGCCTTATGTGAGTAACTTGACTGATTTGGTTCTGGGGTTTGAAGAGAAAAAGAGCCCTTATCCTGATGTATTCGTGATTGGGACAGGGCTATGGGATATGTTACATATAAATAATGCAACTGATTATGGTGTTTCCTTAAAGTTGTTGGGGGATTTGGTGGTATTGCTGTTACCAGTACCTTCAGATTTTGTTAATGATGGAGCTGGCACGAATTTAGTTTCAGTTCGTTCACCCAACTTCTTTTGGCTGGGAATGCCAAAGCTGATAAACTCTATGTTGAATACAGATGAGAAGCAAGAGAAGATGAGTGATGTGATGTGGAGAGCTTATACTGATGAGCTTTATAGCAGTAAGCTGCTGCGACAATCTGGTGGACCACTTTTGTTGCTGGACATTCATGCATTGAGTAATAATTGTGGAACTCATTGTACTGCTGACGGAATGCATTATCACAGAGTTGTATATGAAGCTGCAGTTCATGTAATGCTAAATGGATTGCTTATAGAATCTAATCAGAAGCTGTAATGGAGCCAGGGTAATAAAATTAGTTTGTAATTGCTAGAGCTTTCACTATTATATGGGATTCTTTTCCTGATGTTACACTCATCAACTGAAGACCAGTGGCAAGAAGTTTTTGACGCTAGTCCTTACTGAGGTTCATATACACTCCCCCCTCCCTTTTTCTTCAATTGCTGAATTACTAATACTCATACAGCTTATATGTTGGAGCAAGGAAACCTGTTGTCTCAGTCTCACAACAAATTTCAACAGGAACATGTATAGAGATTCACATCAATGTTTAATGGTTTTAATATCTCCATGAAATGCACCTATATTCAGTTTTCTCTTGCATTCCATACAAAGCTGATCTAATTTCTTTCAGAGCTAGGCAAATATGGTAAAAAACATATTGGTGATTCTCTTTGTGCCCTTTTATTCTTTCCCATCAGGTTGAACAGGTCCTCAGACTTATACATGTTAAATTCCTGCTATTCTTTGTCAAAATCATTGTTGAAAATGTAGTCCAAACATCCAATAAGCTAGTATGTGTATATATATATATATATATATATATATATTTTCATATCCAACCAATAGTATGAGCTGAAATTTCATAGCAAAATTCATTTTGACCAATATGCTCTCTCCTGAAATGGAGGTCCTTAGATTTAAGCTCTACTCAGTGATTAGTTGCTGCTAACTCCCAAGCGATTATATGTCAAGTTGAATAATTTTCCCTCAGATACCTTCTTGGTAATGTTTTATTAACGAAACTTTACTCGTAAAAAAAGGAGACAGGTGAACAGTTTCGAAGTTTAGATTATTTTTGAGTAATTTATGGATTATACAATTTAGATATTAGTTCTTTAGTTAATGAACTAAAGTGGGCGTGTAGGTTTACAGTCAGTTACACAACTACATTCTAGGAAACTAGTTGCACGATACAGCTTAATCACACTTGAGTTCCTGCATTATACTTATGAGCCAGAGCTACAAACTTTTATGAAGTTTGTCTTTGGATGCGTTAGATTTTGATGTAGTTTCTTTTTTGACGGAGGTTCTTATCTAGAGTGCGGGATGTTTAAAACCTTTGATTGGAAAATAGGTAATTAGGACTAGGAAAAACTTACACCTCTGTCTATAAACCCACCTCCCTCCAAAGGAAAGGGAAAAGAGAAATACATATTCTATTTGAGGCTTATTAAGATGTATGAGAACTGAGAAAGGTGTGTGTTATTTGCTTTTCTTAGTCCCTTGAAACAGACTTGATTCAGCATAAAAGGAAGTTGCAAATACATATTATACAGAAGGTTGTCTCTCAAACTAATCTTTTCACAGGAAACTTTGTGGAAATACTGATACCTCAAGGTTGCACAGAGTACTTTATGCTGCTAAAGGAGGGATGCTCTGTTCGTTCCAGAAGAAGTTATCTGGATCAACAAAAGTCTTGACTTGGACCAATTTATTAAAATTATCCTTGAAATACTTCAATCCATAAACACGACCTTCAATGTAGCGATTGTTTCCATTATGGTTGACCCCTATGTCAAGGTCTCTATAATTTAAATATGCACATCTTGGGGATTTTGACACAAAAGGAGTCATGTAGTTGTACAATACTCTGGTCTGGTTCAAATAGAAGTTCTCTGCTTCGTTTCCTTCTTTTCCCCAGTTTGCTGCATACTGGATTTTAAATATATTGCCTGCTCTGTGAGGAAATGGAGTTCCCCATTCTGGTATCTCACTCATCCTTCCACCATATTGATTGAATACTAATTCTGTGTCTCCTAATTCAATCATTTTATCTAATAGAGATTTTAGCTCATCCTTGGGAATGGGTTTCTGCAAATAGTCTGACTTGCGCTTCAGAAACTTCGCTCCAGGTTTTCGGTTGAGCAAAACATCAGGCAGTGTTCCATTAGGGAAACTTGCCCAGAAAAGTGCAGACTCTATCCAACTCATTTCCTTGCAATCCTCGATATGTAAACCCAATTGAGGAAAATCCCTATTCATGATGGATAGAAGTTCTTTGGAATCTCCAAGAAATAATGATACAAATGTTGCTGTAATTGTCTTAGTTCCTTTTTGCTTCTCATCAATAGGTTTTAGAGCTAACCTTATAAAGAGATTGCTATCTATTTTCTCTGCAATGAATTGCCACCAGTAAACAATGTCAATTGCATTTTCTTCGAGGGTCCTCACTACCCGGAAAACAGTAACAACATCAGGAACTTTTACCAATCTAAGTTTGTAGGCCGATATCACTCCAAAGCTAGCACCACCCCCACCTCTGATCGCCCAAAACAGGTCTTCTCCCATTGATTCTCTGTTAAGAATTCTACCGTGAACATCCACTATGCGTGCATCAACTAAATTGTCCACTGACAGTCCATATTTTCTTAACAGGTTACCGTATCCTCCTCCAGTTATGTGTCCACCAACACCAACAGTTGGGCAAACACCAGCTGGGAAGGCATGAACTTTGCTTTTCTCCCAAATTCTGTAGTAAAGTTCGCCTAGAAGTGCACCAGCTTGGACCCAAGCAGTTTCATTTTGGATATCTACATCAATTGAATGCAGGTTAGACATGTCAAGAAGAACAAAACTGATGTTGGAGACATAAGAAATGCCTTCGTAGTCATGGCCTCCACTTCGGATCTTTAGGTACTTGTCAGTTTTCCTGCAGCAAGTGACAGCAACCTGAACATGGGATTCTTGCAACGGAGTGAAAATAATGTCGGGTTTTGGAGTGGTTGATCTATTGAACCTCTGGTTTCTGATATAGTGTTGTAGCACAGACTTATATGAGGAGTTGTTTGGAGTGTACACTCTTGACAGTATGTGGTCAGATGGACGTGAATGTTCGGATAAGCACTGAAGGAAGCTCAGGTATGATAGAGTTGAGGCTGACAACGGAACAAAATGGATAACAAAAAGAAATGAAGAAATGGTTAGAAAGAGAGAGTTCTCCATATCGAAACCCTGGTTTCCTTGTTTTCTTTTATTTTTCCGCTATGGGGACATGGAGAGTTAAGCTATTCCAGGCCAACTAGAAATATAACAAGAGAAGATGCCAGCAAATCAGGTGTAATACAAAGTTCATCAAGCAGACTGTTGTGCCTTGTTTTCTTCTTCATAATGTTGTGAACTGGAGTAGAAAACTATCGTTTTTGTCATCTTGCAGTTTAGTAGTACTAAGTGAATGTAGATCCTCTCCATATTTACTTGTCTTCTCACGCCGGTTCTTTAAACTATAGACTCCTAATCGAAACCTTGATTTGAGTTCTACAAACTGACAAAATGCATCATCTGCAGTCTTGATTTCTAGTTTATCCAAGTCTTTGTTGATGATGTAACTAGGACAGCAGTATGGCATGTGTCAAAAAACTACACAAGGAAAATGAACTTTGGATGACATGCTATTTTAACATGTCATAATCTTGACAGGAGTACTGCCAAAGGTGTAAAGGTTCCTCCCGAAGTTTCGAGTTTGAGTCGTATCAGTGGGTTTCAGGCACTGAAACAAATATTTAATAAATAAAGGTGACAAGATAAGGATAATGTTTTGATCGTTTGACAAAAAAATCTACAATAACAAGGAAATATTTGTCTCCTTTGGATGAGTTCATAAATTTCATCAGATTCGAAAAGGAACATTCTTAATCTACAAATCAACAATTCTAACAACTTTGATTCAGGTTCTGCAACATTTGACTGGCAAAACAATTGCTTGATAAAATTGCCTTGCAAGTGGCAAGTTTCTTCTCTGGTTCCGTTCAAGTTCACAAGGATTGAGTGAACAACAACATACCGCACAATCGCAGAGCTTTGCTCTGCAACGACTTAATCAGGTAGTCACTTGTCCAACATGAACTCGAACAAAAATGTCCCAACATTGCTAGCCAATGTTGAGCAATCCAAAATAAAAGATGAGCAATAGATACACTTTTGGCATGAGTCTAAGACCCAAACTGCTTGCCTTCAAAGGTCTGACCAAAATTCCAATTCTTGGGAGCTACATTGTAAGATGTTAAGGTGGCCCCATCACCACTAGTCATCTCAAAAGAAAGCGGCTGATTCTTTAAGTCAGCATTAATGTGCCAGTTTTGGCCCCAGTTCCTACCCATAGGAAGCCAGCCTGTTCTTGAACCCTTAACTTTTGCTGCCACTATATCACCCGAACCTGCAACATTACTGATTAGAACTGACAAGAATATACCAGAGCCACCAAGAGTGAATCGAACTCCACCTTCCTTTCTGCACTTTATCCTGTTCAGAATTAAGAAACCAAGCATATGGTTAGGTGCCATACATAAAAGGTCTTCAACAAGGGAATTCTGGAAATTACTTGCATTGTCAAATTAAAAAGGGAGACCTATTTTGGGATCAGAAGGACTACATGAAATTTGCAGAAAATTGCACTGAATGGACAAGCGGAAAGAAAAGACACTTGAAGGTGGATGGTGTAATCAGTCTCAAATCTTTTCATGGTGCTTCTTGGTTGGGAAGTACATCTAATTTCTATACAAAATATTATGGAACGCAAATAATACCAAAAGGTGCATATTTGGTGGATTGCGACATGGAATACCTCTTGTGAGTGTATCCCTATATCTATTTGCACATAAATCACCATTGACTTAAGCAAATGAATGGGTCTAAAGTTCTAGCTTGTAGAATTTATTTTATTAGGACAGGATGGAGAAGTGAAACTGATAGGGAGGTAGTCACAGCCAGAACCAATAGTGCTGTTCAATTCCCATTTCCCAGGAAGCTCTCAATTCATTTTCCAATACAAATGAACTTTAGATCATCTTCAGCAGGATATTTTTATAAATACATTTGTTTGGATGTTCCATATGCTTATATTTTTTCACATGCGTTGGCCAAAAGGTTATTAGAGACTTCCCTTGAAGAGAAACATTCACATTACAATTCAGGATAACTTTTGAAACAAATAGAAGATATGAGAATCTACAGAAATCAATACATAGATAATGATTCTTCTGATACAGATCATGCATATCATAAATATTAGAAAAAGATTTGCCCCTCCCTGGAAGTCATTGAAATTACTTACTAAAGGAAAAAGCCAATGAAATCACAAGTAATAGCTAGGTTCGTGTAGTTCATCAACAGGAGATTTCATTGGCTTTTTCCTTTAGGGCCCATTGTACTTTACATCTCTATTTCCTTTTCCCCCTTCATTCTTTTCGTACTCTCAATTGCAATGTCTATTTTTTTTCATTTCTACCTGTCCTTAGCATTAATTCAAATTTCATTTCTGTTTTCAGTAAATGTCCTTCAGATACTTTCTTTTTGTTTCTACCTATCATTAAATATTCAAGAATCTCAAACACAGCTCTTCTCCCGGGCCTCAACCTCAACTACAGCTGTAAATACTTGATGTTTTTAAGCTGTAATCAAACCAGTTCAGAGAATGTTTTAGCTGACAGTTGGTAAAACTTTTGGCTATAAATGGGTAAATCAATATAACAACTAAACCTCAGTCCTATATTATCTGAGTTATGAATCCATTCCCCTTTTCTCAGTTCTATTTCATTCTAACGCTAAATAATATCCAGTCCATTTCAATTTGTTTGTCTTGCTTTCGTTTTTAGTGTGTTTAGATTGTTAGCCTCTTTCCTTTATTAGCAACTATTTATTTTCAACTTTTCACCTAACCTGCTTAACACTAGAAAATTATAACACATTTTGATAAGTCTTTCTTGCTTTCTTAAATTCCACATCAAGTCATAATCGGACAAATAAATTAAAATGGAATAACTGTATTCTACAAGTATGATTCTTGGATTAGGAGAAACATAGAATCAGTTAGATATTTTCTAAAAACAAGCATATATTAGTTGCTGCACGAACCTGCGGTATTGAATGGGCATATTAGAAGCTTTCCAAATGGCAATCTTCTCAAAAGCCTCAATGGGTAGCACAAAATGGGCATTAGGTGGATTACAGTGACCACCACCATCTAGATCAAACCCATAATTTGGTGCACAAAAATTAGTGGCTGTAACAATTATAGAAGTACCCGGAATGCACCACCGCAGATCCTCCACACACCTCACTTCATAACAAGCACCACAGATCTGACCCTTGTCAAAAAGCACAGTACTTAACCCAGCTGTAGCTTTTCCATACCCATTTCTCTCCAAATCCCCATATCCGCACGCGCCACCCACAACGTCACGTGGGTCGGCGGCGGCGTAATAGGTGGCGCGTGCAGGACGCCACTCGGACTGAAAATTGGAGGTGGAGGAAGAAGAAGGTGACCAGTTGTAGTGAGAATGGACAAATGGGGTTGGAGAAAAGAGTGCGAATGCTACTAAAAGTGACAGTAGTAGCATACTTACAAAATGGAGTGTATATGTTCTTCTTCACTATCAAAGAGATGAAAAATTGTTGCTTTGCTTAAACTCTTGAATCTGATGAGTTGTTTCACTATGCAGGGAATTATGAGAAAAGGGAAAGTTTGTCACTTTTTGCAGAGATATTACCATGGATGGTCATGTTTCTTCACTGCTTTTTTGAACTTTGCCAATTGGGCTTGTCGGCGCCCCTTTTTCTCTCTCTTTTTAATAAATTAGTTCTCGAATACGTTCGTAGCACGTATATTTCACGTTAAGTAATTTTTTTAAGAAAATAATATGAGTTGTATAGATTTAAAAGGACAGGTTACTTTTTGTCTGATTTAAACTTTTGAGTCATTTCTTTTTTGAATTCAACACACATAATTAGTAAAATATATGTATATTGAATGTAACATGACAAACTATTAAAATCAATGTTTTTCATGCATTGCACCACCATATTAAACTAATAACTTCAAATTTTTGATTAAACCTCTAAAGTATATAATCTCATATATAACTTTTTTTTTTCTATAGTAATACATGCACTTACATATATTAAAGTGTAAGATAAATTAAAGAATAACAAAATAAAGACACAACAATTTTAACTAATTAATCAACATCACCTGATAGGTAAACTACCACGAAATGGTTATTTGACATTGTTGCCTCAAATATGCAATCGGCTATAAGAATCTCAAGTTTTCAATCGTATGATATAATTTGAATAGTAATACACTTATCTAAATTACTGTGCAAATCAGTTGGAACTGCATCCTACTTTTTTTTTCTAAAAAAATGTTATGTATATTTATATAAAACTTAATAGAGTACATGAAAAGTTTTCTAACGGATGAAAATTAAAAGAAATAAAAAATTTAAAATTAATGGGATAAATGCATATATAATTATATAGTAAAAGATAAATTATACTAAGGGCTTGATAGATTCATGAACTTCACATTAATGTTTCATAATTTCCGGAAGTTGAAACGAAATTAAAATATTGAATAGAGGACAATTTTAGGAAGATGAAAAAGCTAGCAATTCCAAAACATTGAATATAGATTCCAAAACATTGAATATAGGCTGTTGTAATTTGAGTGATAAATTAAAATATTACTCCTATTTAATTAGATTGTGTAACAATTTAAATAATACTACTAATTAGATTAGTTAGTTTTGTTTATTAAATATTTTTATTAAGTAAAAGGCAAAAAGTAATTCAACTTTGATAATCAAAATTCATTGAATCCCGAAATAAATATTAAACAAAAAAAATAATATTTTAAATAATTTCAAGAAAATAAATTAAGTTAGATATTTTAATTAAAAATTATTCTAAAGAGTGGAAAAGTCATTAACATTTTGATTAAAATAATATAATTTAATATTTAAATTAAATAGTTAAATATCTTTATAACATTTAAATTTATAATAAGGATAAAATCGTAATTCAACTTTTAATTTTTTTGGTTCCCTCTTATAATAATATATGATTATACAAATTTGTCTCAAACTATTTAGGGGTGCATTGGTTCAGGCAATTTGCACTATAATTCTTACCATTTAGGTTCCCCCTAACGAAGAAAATTGTTGAAT